GTGTGCCTGTGTGTCTGTATGTGTGTTTGTGTGTGTGTGTGTCTGTCTCTGTGTCTGTTTGTGTGTGTGTCTGTGTGTATATAGATGTGTGTCTGTCTGTGTCTCTGTGTATACTTGTGTTTCTTTGTGCGTGTGGTGTCCTTTATGTCAGACTTCCCTCACTCACAGATCCTCACATTTGGGTCTGTAACATTGCTGCAGTATAACTGTCGTGGAATTAAGCAGTTTGTCTCCTAGAGTTTGTTTTCATACGAAACTGCTATGGCTATTCAATGTCTTGGCATTTTGGGCTTGGTGTGGTGACTCACATCTTTAATCCCAGCACTGAGGAGGTAGAGGCAGGAGGAGCTCTGCGAGTTCGAGGCCAGCCTAATACACATAGCAAGTTCCAGGCCAAACAGGACTACATAGAAGGATCTTGTTTTAAAAACAAAACAAAACAAACTCAAAACCCAAAAATAACTTTGGTATCTCCATAGTAATGTAAGAGTCAATTTATCAATTCCTGGTAAAATCTGTGTTTATGTCTGATGTTTTGGGAAATCTTCAGTACTCGGGTCCACAAACATGGTATAGCTCCCCATGGTCTCCAGTCCCCTTTAACCCTCCCCAGAACAGTTTTGTAGCAAGAGTATAATTTAGATGTTATTATATTTTTATTTTTAAAATATTTTTACTTTTTTTTGTGGGTGGTTGTGTGGTGGTTTGAATAAGAATAGCCCCTATAGACTCATATAACTGAATGCTTAGTCACCCAGGAGTGGCACTATTTGAAAAGATTAGGAGGTGTGGCCTTGCTGGAGGAAGTGTGTCACTGGAGGTGGGCTTTGAGGTTTCTGTTTCCGTCTGTCTCCGTCTCTTTCTCTGCCTACGGATCAGGATGTAGAACTCTCAGCTACTTCTCCAACACCACGTCAGCCTGTGTTCCATCAGGCTTCCAACCATGATGATAATGGGCTAACGTCTGAAACTGTAAGCGAGCCCCTAATTAAACGCTTTCTCTTGTTAGAGTTGCCTTGGTCATGGTGTCTCTTCACAGCAATAGAATGGTGACTAAGATTATGGCACTGAGCATTGACCCAGTATGGTGCACACATTAGACACGAGCTCTACCACTACCTGTTGACTTTATATTGAGGCCCAGCTGGCCTTATGTGTCCTCTGTAGCCCAGGCTGCCTGTGCTTATGATCCTCCTGCCTCAGCCTCCCACAGAGCTGGGATTATATGCCTGTATTACCAGACTAGCTTGGATTATATTATAAATGTTACATTTGAAAATTCCATTTTCTGATAGTTTCTACAGCACATAGCTTACAGTGACTTGTTGAGATGGCTCAGGCGGTCACCAAGCCTGGTCTCTACTGTCTCTCCTGACTTTGACATCTGAGAGGAAGCTGGCAGGTAATTTTGAAGACTGTCCCCACAGAAGGCTCGCTGATGTCCTCATCATGAGATCAGGTCTCTCTGCAGAGCGAGGCCAGGCCTCTCAGGGCTTCGTTCAGAACAGACGCTCCGGTAGGGTGCAGAGGGCAGGCTGAGTCCCACTTTCATCAACTGCCTTCCTTCTGCTTGGTGTTGTCTCAGCTCTGTTTGTACCTCCCCTATGCATAGCCTGGTATGCCACTCACAGAAGCCAGGGCCATGAAGCTGGCTGTGGACCTCTGCAGACCATGAATCCACACCACCCTGTGTGATCAGACAGCAGCTGCATCTTACAGGGTGGCCGATGGCCTGTGTCAGCCACACACCCCTGGGGATGTGACAGTCCTGGCTCAGCCTCCCGCAGACCACAGATGCTACAGCTTTCCCTCTCCCACCGGGCACAACCGCATCATGACTGTAGGGCTGTGACACTCAGCTTTGAGGGACCAACCAAGGTTGGGGCACATGAAATGCCACCAGATAATGGACTCTTGAGGGCTTGTTTTCGAGCAAGGCTCTCTGTGATCCCGTGGTCTCAGGTCTGAGCCAGCCCACAGTGGACTTGAGGCCACCATCACTCCATTACCATGGCACCTCTCTCTCTATGCTTCCCACTGGAGCATGATTAATAATATCCAACCTAAGACTGTATCAAGTAATTACACCTTTTAGTGCACCTGGTAATTTTTATCCACCTGGTGCTAGCAGTCAATCAAAATGCCATAAAAGGGCTTCAGAATGTGCTAATGACTTGCTCGCTCTGTCAGGCATCATGGGGGTGCATTCGACTCTTGGCACAAGAGTGGTGCATGGAACAGACTTGCAGCTTATCCGTACCGCTCGGCTTCTCTAGGGGCTACGCTTCTCCACACAGGCCTGCTTCTCTACGCTGCCTCAACGTTTCTCCAGAGCTTAGCTCCTCATCCATTTCATCTTTTCCACAGGGCTGGGCTTTCTGTAGACCTGGGCTTTTCTGTAGAGCTAGGCTTCTCCACAGAGCTAGGCTTCCCTGTAGACCTGGGCTTCACACAGCTTTGCTTCATACTGCCTCCTGTAACACAGCTGCCTTCCACGTAGAGCCTTTTGAAACTTTTGAAAAGTTGCAGGCTCACTAACACCAGCCGGGGGAGGAGGCTGAGCTGTAGCACCCTCAGCCTGCCAGGAATAAGTGTGCTGTCTCTGAAGACAGTAAAGAACTCCAGTGCCCATTTCCAAACGCACACTGGCCTTGGAGACGGCAGCATACTCACTGCAGCGTTCAACCTCAGGGTCTTCACCGTGGCCTAGGAAGCCCTGGGTCTCATCTGTGTCACTGCTGGCAACACTGGCTCCACACAGCTTCCCTAAGGTCTCACACACCTCCCCACCCTCCTGTTGGGTGGTTGTGGCACTTCATATGCCCAACATGGGGGAGCTCACAGCCACTGGGGACAGTTGGGGGACATGGGTAGATGTGGTGGGTCATAGCTGAGGCCTTCCCGGGCCTCAGGGGCAGAATTACAGTCACAGAGGGTCAGGTACCGGGTGGCCTGCTTCAGATAACAAGTATGTGAAGAGCACCTGGAAACCAGGTGACTTCCAATGTTCACACTTGAGACCACAAGCCTGCTGGATCATTTAGTCCCAGAAACAACTTGTTGGGTGCCCCGTTCACCACCATCCATGTATGCACCACCTGAGCCTCTTTGTAAGGATAGGAATCCTTGGGGCAAAAGCATCTGGGTGAAGGCCAATACTGCAGCCAGTGGAAGGGAAGGGTTCAGCCTGTCATGGCTGCACGTATATACGTGCCAATGGAGGCAACAGGGACCTTCCTATGGTGTTCCCTCCACAGAGGCCTACACCCTATGCAGGGAGCTCAGCAGAAGATGGTGAAGAAGTGGGGATGCTCACACTCTGGGAAGCGCTTACCTCATTGGAGAAGAGGCTGCCTCCACCCACAGTGCAGTTGGTGCCCTACCTAGCTTTAACTATCAACCTGCGTGGCCGGGAGTCACTTAAGAAGACAGCCTCAGCTGAGGGATTCCCCAGACCAGATCTGCCTCTCGACACGCCTGTGAGTGATTGTCTTAACTGAAAATGACATAGGAGAGCCAATCCAGGGTGGGCAGCACCATTCCCAGGCAGGAGTTCCTGGACCGTAGAAGAAAGCTAGCTAAGATGAGCTTAAGGGCAAGCCAGCACGTAGAATTCTCCCACAGCTTCTGCTTTTCAGTTCTCGTTTATGTTCCTGCCCTGCCCTCCCTCAGTGAGGGGCTATACCAATAAACACTTTCTTCCCCTAAGTTGCTTTTGTTCAGAGTGTTTTAATCACAGCGACGGGAATCAAACTAGAACAGTGCTGGCTCTGGTCAAGGTGCAGAGCCACAGAGAGGTAGTGTAGGTCCGGGGGAGGGGGTTTCATCACAGCACCCTGCACCACAGTGGGAAGGCAGTGTCCCTTCCTGAGTCAGTGGCGGACAGCTGGTCAGGAAGGGGTGGACACAGCTGCCCTCGTGAGCACAGGAAGAGCCTCCTGTTGCTAAGTTATGCCCAGAGAGCCATGAGGTCACCAGATGAGCCTGGAAGTCAAGATCTGGGCAGTCTAGAATGTTCTAGACTGAAGGAGGCCCTGGTGTGAACCTTGCCCTCATATGGGAGGCCCCCGCTTGCATGATTCGGGGACCCATTCTTTGCTCAACTCCTCTGCATGTTTGGGTTGCAATGTTCCCTCAGAAAAGGTAAAAGTAAGCAAAGAGATCCATGTCAAGATGACATGTCCAACAAGGCTGCAACATGGAAAAGCTAGTGTTGTGTACTGCTAGAGGAATACAGAGCTCATCAAAGAGCAAGACGTGGAAAACGGAGTGAATATAGCCAAATTCTCTGCATAACCCACCCAAGTCAAAAGCGGACGCCTCACTCTCACGTCAAAGTTTCAAGTAATCCTGTCTGAAATTTTCAGCAGTGCACATCAGTGGAAGCAGGAGCAGCAGGGGACACAGCAAGGATGGGGGGCTGGGGGAGAAGGACACCCAGATTTGAGCAGAGCAGTTCTGGAGCAGGCAAGGGCCGTTGCCCACACAGGCTGTTAAATGATATTCACACTGGACTACAAGAATTGTGTGCGCATCTGGCTTATGTGAGAGACACTCCTAGAAGCAAGCAAACTGGGGACCCAAAGAAAAGGTAGACACAGAGGGAGGCGGCTGGAAGATGCCCCAGTGTAAGAACCGAGGCTCCCGTTGATGGCACAAGACCTGCATTCATTTCGAAATGACCTTGGAGACATCCAAGACACTGTGGGAGAAGACAACGGCTCTTCTCCAAGTCTCCTCCAGAAAAGGACTCAAAGTTGTGCTTGCTTCCCACAGAGGGGGATTGCGAATGTGGCTGGTGCGAGCGATGGGCCACTCTGTGAGGTGGAGGGTGCAGTGGGCAGGGCCGGCCAACAACAGGACACCAGTTACAGGGCAACAAGGAGGCTTGGGGGATGGGGAGGGCAGATGGGCCAGCCCAGCCCAGCCCAGCAGAGTTACCAGGTGTGTCCTGAGAACATAATACCCAAATACATTTACACGATGAAAGTTCCACCTACCGCTCCAAGCATGATCCTGAAGATCAGCCAGCGGAAGCCCCACAGGACAACTCGGGATGTGGCGGTGTGCTTGGGGAGGCGGGACAGCGTCCAGAGAGGACACAGAAAGATTCCCAGGAATCCTGTTTCCAGCAGCTGTGACTCCCATCCTGCAGGGGGCAGGGTACAAGAGGAGACACAAAGAGGAAGGTCAATGGAGTCAAATGTTTACAAAGCAATCACCAAAAGTCCAGCCTGACCAAGACAAGAAGTCCTTAAAATGAGGCAGGTGACACGCAAATGTCACCATGTCTTCACAGGAAACAGGATGTAGAGCTTGGAGCCGGGTGACCCAGAGTCTGGGACCAGGGAATTCTGCAGCCTCAGGTGCCCTGCTTTTGTGGACAGGGGGGACTTGTGCTGCCCAGTTCAGGTGACACTTGCCATCTTGTGTGGGATGCAGCATGACCTGAGCCCCACGCTTGGGTGTGCACTGCTGATGGGCATTTGTGGGAAGCCTTTCGTTCTTAGGTTTACGTGAAAAATCACAGCTTTGAACGTTCTTCCCAAGGAATGTTTGCCAGCGCAGGTACAACCAATGACGGACGAGCTCTCTGGGAGCTCTGGATCCCACTCAGGCCCAGGTCAAACGAGTCAAGCAAAGCTGGCAGCCAGGGGCCAGTAAACTCAAGCATGGTGACATGTGAGCCCTCAAGAGGGCAGACTGCTCTGTGTTTGTGTGAAGACATCATTATTCTTCCAGCAGGGACTCAGCACAGGAAATGCCTTGAGAACGGCCCGCCGCTGAATCCTGAATTCCCAGAGACTGAAAGAGGGGAGTCCTGTGGCAGAGAAGGCCCCCATTGCTGGCTTTGCCCTCACCATCTGAGGAGTGATGACTCAAGGGTGCCAGAGATGCCCTCTCCCCACAAGGTCTCAGGATACCAGGCAGAGCTGTGCTGTCCCTTTGTGTTGACAACCGGCCATTCACAGTGACAGCAGTACTATGCACATATGTACCTCACAGAGGAAGGGACAGTTAGGAAGGACTACAGAAAGAAGTTCTGGAGGAGAACAGAGGTACAGGGAGCTTTTTAAAAATACACGTTAGTTTAGAATTAAAAGCTTGTAAAACAGCTACTTAGCATGAAGTTATAACACAATATGAAATGGGTCCACACTAGTCCACACTGACAGAACCAGCAATAATTGATTTAGCAGCTACACAGGACCGGGCACAGATTTTCCAGAATAACTCCTCACGGTGCTCAGCTCACGGTCCTCTGCAGGCAGAGGCTGCACAGGACCAGCTCTCCACGGCATGGGGCGGCCTGCCCAGGTGATCACAGTTGTGTGCAGTGTGTGTCAAAGCAGGTGAGGGAGGTACAACCCCTCCCAGGCCCACGTCAGCTAACCGTGGGGAAGAGAAAAGCCAGGCCCCTTGGATGGGTCTCCTCAGATGCTGAGCGGCACACTAAACTACCACGGCTTCCAAGCCGAGGGGAGACATAAAGTGTCAGCCTGCAGCAGCTCAAATGCGGTGAGCAAATGCTACCTGGGGTCCTGGGTCGGCAAAAACCAACCAACAAAGAAAAACTTAGGGGAAACTGAGACAGTAAGACCCGTGTGGGGATCAGAGTCAGAAACGTGGTGAGGTACTTCGTGAGTGTGAGCACTAACTACAAGGGACTTGGGGTCGAAATGTGGGAGCCAGGTATATTTTTACACTATTCCTGCAGATCTCAATAGCCCTAAGACAGCAAACCCATTCCTGACGATCAGGGACCTGTTGCTGTCCTGGGCTTCCCTCAAAGGACTGCCCTGTAAGCCACAGGCTCCCCTAGGCTTCAGGTCCCCTGGTAGCCCCCGGAGAGCCTGCTGTCCCCTCTCCAGGGTCTTCATTGGTCCATTTCAACGGGTGTCTCCTTGGAAGCTATCCACCTGAGGAAGAGAGTGCAGCTAGCCAAGTGACGAGCCATGGGCTGGTCCTGACAGGCACTGCCTGCGCTGGGAGCTGCAATGGATGGACAAGCGGTAGTGACTGCTTTGGTGGGGGCTGAGGCTAGGCTGTGGCCACCGCAGCTGGAATTTGCCCGGCTGGAGGGCCACGTGTGTCAGGTGGAGCTGGGCCTCTTGTGCCAAACTTCTCTGCTCTTGGCACTAGTCCAAGGGCGGGCATTTATGAATTGTCACAGAAGGGCTGAGGGAGAGCTACAAACCCAGAAAAAAGAAGCAGGGCCCCCATTTAACGGCAACACTGCCGTTTTCAAAACCTGGGATGGAGGGCTTCCAAGTACCCTCAGCCTGGCTGCTTCTGTTGCTGTCCATGCCCGGCGAAGGAGCTTGTGTCTGTCTCTCTGCACATTGTATGATCTAATCCTGTCGTGCTTACACTCAAAAAATGTGCTAAGCAATACTCCCCAACAGTTCCCCTTTTCACATGGGTGTCCCCCCCCCTCCCCGCACAACACCACCTCTGGGTTTTCCTTGGGATAATTTGCATTAGTTTGGGATTCATTTCACATGGCTGTGCCTGATACCCCATGGAATTTCATGGCTGGTAGTGTCCATGGGTCAAGGAATTATTTGGTAAGCACTTCAAAGGGCCACTAGAGTGACCATTTTGAAGAAGAATCTTAAAGACTACATGCTCCAATCCCCTCCTCTATTGGGCAGGTAAAAGAACTCAGAAGCTCAGAGGTCACAGAGCAAAGCTGGGGCCACAGAACGAGTCCACTCCATACCACATTGAGCGAGCAGAATGCCAGTTTGTCCCACACCCACCAAGCTGCCCACCCCCTGCTGGAACCGTTTTGCTAGGCCTGGGGCAGGGTAGAGCTGGCACCGTGACAGATGCCACACACAGTCTCAGAGCTTTTAGGGGACACATTCCCCAGAGCTTAGAGTCTGCCTAATTGCCACCTCGATCTGCAGACATAGGAATGGAATTTTAACATGCGGCACAGTGAGTGACACCAATCAAAGTGATTGATACACAATGGCAGAACCCAGAAATGCATCCAAGTGCCAAGAGAGGCAGGGTGACAGGGCTGGGGGTGGGGTGCATGACAGGGCAGGGCAGGGTGACAAAAGACAAGCTGTCTATAACAGGAAGGAGGGTGTGTGTGAGGGTCTCCCTCCTTCCCCCAGCTCCCCATGGCCTTCAGAGGGGATGGGACGTTCCTGTCCTGCTTGGATAGACATGGATGAGCCAAGGCCTGGGGAGCTATTCCAACTGGACCCTCTGCCTTGCCCCAGTTCATGCAACGGCTGTGGCTCACTGGGGTCTTTCTGACCAAAGCTGGGCTGCCCTGGTGGGAGTAGCCTGTGACAGACACCAGGGGAGGGAGGGGCTGCTTCACTCCCACCTGCTTGTCTTCTTTGCCTGGATCTGTGGTGTCTCAGCAGCTGCGCCATGTGCACAAGGAAGGCCATTGTTCTCCACTTCAGCATGGCAGGAGATGAGTCCCCAGAAAAAATAAATAACCAGCATGTTGCCAGGGGCCAAGTGACCCAGTGAGAGTGGGTGGGTGGTGAGCCATTCTTGCCCAGTGCACCAATTTTGTATGCAGTGGACGGAGTCAGGATGGCGCCTTCTACAGGAGACAGGCGGCTATAACTGAACAAACACGGCCCTCACAACCTTGTCAACTGCATTCTGAACAGCCCCCTCCCCAACCGCCTGTGCCTGTGAGCCAAAGCTTCCTACAGCAGCAGCTAGGAGAGTTCTTGCCTCCTGTCCAGGTCTCTGGGGACAGTGCTGCTCTTGCCTAGTTCGTGGTTCGGATAATAGGGGCACAGTCTCACCAGTGGCATGTCAAGCAGCTGTCAGGAGAGGCCCGTGAGGGGTCCTGAGTGACAGCACTGTGTGGACTGCTTTCATGTGGTGACATAAAGCTGGTTCTAGAACCTTCTCTTCCAGTGTCTGCCTCTTTCATTTTCAGTCACGTCGCTGAACGCTGAGCCGGATGTACCTAGGGAGTTGTACATGTGGAATAGTGCCACACAACCTCTCAGCACGGCTTCGAGAAGCGCTCCATTCAGGGCTGCTTCCTGGGGTACGGGCAAGAGGCTTGGGAGGCTCAGCAGTCTTCCTCACTAGATACCACAGACGCGATCAGACCCGTATGTGTGGAGCCATTCCCAGGAAGAAGCGAATGTCTCAGGTTTAAGAGAGACTGCTAGAGGTGTGCTCACTGGGAGCCTCAGTGTATAAAGCCTCAGGTAAGATCTCTAGCGCCACACTCACAGGCTCACAGACTGAACTTCGTGGCACATGCTTGTGATTGTAGCACTCTGGAGGCGGAGGCAGGAGGATGAGGCTATGGCTATTTCAACATGAATCTTCCTAGTTACATATGGAAATGGCCTAGATGTCCAACAGTGGGGAAAAAGGACGTGACACCGCCAGGTGTCTGTTGACGGCCCAGGCAGAGTGGCCACATCTCCATGCTGTGTCTGAGGAAAGACTCTGAGCGTGCCAGTCTCACTCTCCTACCTCCTGTTCACAGTGATCACTGTGGCTTCCCAAGTTCAAAGCCAGCTCTGCAGCTGGCCCACTTTCCTTCTGGCCTGGGTGAGGGAGAGCAGGACTGCTGTGGACTCACAGGGAAGATGTGCTCCCCCCACCCCGAAATAAAGTACTAAGCACAAACACTAATGACACGAGGAAATGGAAGCAGAGACCATACAGTTCTCAACTCAAGGTCACCAGACCCAGGAGCTTCATCTGGGTGTCTCCCTTAAGCTGTCCAGGTGTCTGTGGAGACCGGACACAACCAGGAGAAAACATGTGTAAGGCAGAGCTGATAAGGTAGAAGATTCGAGACCCCAGAGACTGCAAGTGGGTGGAGAAACAGAGGCAGAGAGCCCTACTCCATGGCTCGGCTCTACAATACTTGTTCTCGAATAAAACCAACAGACGGTGCTGGCTCCTTTGCTCACTGGCATCAAAGAAAGAAGAGAGACACTAGGCACCCACCCAGAGGACTGCTCTGTGCCTCAGCTGGACAAATGCTGGAAAGAAGGGGCACAAGGAGCCAGCAAGAGGAGGTCAGGCAGCCTTGTACTAGACAGCTGCCCTGGACAGGGAGGCTGTCTGGCTGAGTGGCTCACGAATGGGATGTCCTCAGCCTGCCAGAGAAGCAAAGTGGGAGAGTTCAGTGCTAAA